AATTCACATTCATATAATAAAGATTTTTAATTCTGGCAGAACAAGTCGTTCTAAAATGTATTTGAGAGCTGATCATTCTGCTTCAGTATGAAATACAATCTATGAGAAACCTGCAAAAATCTAAGTAACCTTCCAGCCTGAGAACATTCACTATAACCTAACCTCAATCTTTTCACTAGCAGAGAAAGGAGGAAAAGGTTGCTTTACGAAGATGATGTCCCAGGGTGGCTCTTTCGGGTCTCTTGGTCCCTAACAAGAACTTCTCAATACTACTGTACTTATTCCTACCAGCCTTCCTCAGCCCTTAGTCCTAATCACCCAATGTCTTCTTATCGGCCTTCTTCCTGTGTTGCCTGCAATATATCTTCAGCAAGTTCTCCCATTCTTCATGCCATTTTAACTACCAATCACCACACCCTTCTAGGATCCTTCTTTTCCAGGAAGACTTCTCAAAAGCTGAGGATGTAACTCAGTTAGAAAACTGTGTCCTTAGCATACACAAAGCCCTGGGTTCAATCCCCAGCAGAGCCAAAAAGGGGTTGGGGTAGAGAACTATTTTCAAGATGTTATAAACATTTTTGGCTTCTCATCTCCTAGTACATATTAAGCACTTCATAAATGTCTGCTGAGTGGCACAAGGACATGATAAACTTAATAAGTGAAATTTCAAAAATAAATTACTAGTACCTATAGACCTAACAAATAAATGTATCAAATTCCGTATTACAGACTTAAAAGACTACTGACATGTGGGTGAGCTCTAAAGCAGGACCAGGAAGCAAGCCACGGGAAAACCTAGATTTGACCCTCTATACACCAGACATGAGTCTCCCCTTCTTTTCAGAACACTACAGCTTTTGTCTGCTAAGTCTACCAGTGTCATCTTCCTTTCCCTTTGGTTAGCTGTACAAAAAGAAACACCCCAAGTTACAAAAGAGGAATGGCGGGGAGAGAAAGAACTGATTTGCAAAGTCAATTTTTCAGGCACAATACTCATGGCTTCCCAATAGAAACCTAAAGAACTTTGCAAAGCACCATAGCTGGTACACCAGTGCATGAGGGCACACCAGGATACAAACATTTATATTTTCATTGCTAGAAGCCACTTTGACTTGGGTTTGTTCTTGTTTTTTCTTAAAAAAAAAAAAAAAAAGACATGAATGCCATGCCAAGTGGAGTAGCATGTGCCAATAAGCCCAGCATTCTGGAGGCTGGAGCAGGAAGATTTTATTGAATGTGCAAGGCTAGCCTGTGCTAGCCTTATAAATAACAAGATCCTGTCCACCCCCCGTCCAAATAAGCAACACATTTAGAGCTATGTGCCCTCATCCTAACATCCAAAGAATACCCAAACATGCAATACTGTTTCTAAATGGCACTTCTGCTTCTCAACTGTGTAATGAGAACACACCGTTCAACTTTAGCCTTCTCACCTACCCTCTTATCTTCTATCATGAGACTCTGTAATCACATACTTGAACTTCAGGGCACAATTACTCAAGACAAGTGTCCCTGCAGAATAGGCAACTTCCTCAGCCAGTTTCGCTGCTTATAACATGTGGGAGATACCAAATTGCCCTCTGAGCTTCCCATCTTCTTAAAAAAAAAAAAAAAACTAACTATTGTAAAGAATAAACATAAAATTACAGGCTGCATTAGGCTTATTATACTTAGTCTAATATCTGTAAAACCATAGCTGGCTTGGAAGTATTTACATCAAAATATTCCATTATCGCTTAGGAGCTTCTTAGAAAAGGGAGAGAGGGAAGGAGAAAGGAAGGAAGGAAGGAAGGAAGGAAGGAAGGAAGGAAGGAAGGAAGGAAGGAAGGGAGGGAGGGAGGGAGGGAGGGAGGGAGGGAGAGAGGGAGGGAGGGAAGGAGGGAGCTGCAGTCACCAAGTCGCAGTCAACAAGAAGTTAGTGAGGACAACACCTCAGAGTCAGTGTGTTGATACAACAACACAAGCATTTGATCCCACAGTCTGCCAGAAATGGCTCTAAACTGGTGTAAGTTGTAAGTCTAACTGTCCAAGCCAATATCTACGATTTCTTGGTGATTTGTGGCAAAGATTATTTTGATTTACAAACACAAGTATGTATTTAGGGTAAGTCTTGGTATCTGTGGTAACTCCTAACCCTTATACACATTTCTATCCAAGTTTGTAGTTTAGCTGCCTGCTTCTTGAGAAGCTTCCACATCTCTTGATGACAGTTCAGTAAATCTTTTATATTCAGTGTACTGGGACACCAGAAACTCTAACAGTCACCACTGCAACCTTAATTTCTGACCAGCACGGACACAGTGTGTTAACAGCCAACCACCCCCACAGGGAAAAAAAAATAAAAGTAAATATGAAGATTTTCACCTTCCAATGCATGGTTTTAACAGACTTATTAACGGGTTTTCTAAAAAATATGAGCCTCTGAAAATGTGACCAGACAGATTACTTAATACTAAGGAACTATTAATTTACTTAGGAGAGAAAATGGCATGGTGGAGATTTCTAAAGTCATCTTCGTTATATACACACTGGAGGTTTATACAAAATTATTTACAGATGCCATTACAACAGGTCTAAAAGATGAGAGGGGGCTCAGTAAGCTACAGAAGAAGCAAGATGTTAATTGTTAGTTGCCAAGCTTAGGTGTGTTGAGTACACTGGAGTTTATTTTACTGTCTACTTTCTCATACAAAATTTAATACTTTTTTTTAAAAGTTAGACCCTTTAAACCCATGTGATATTTAACCTCATTATTTGTGTGATATTGTGGTATACAGGAGCACGACAGCATTTTGTTAACCAAATTTTAAAGCTAGAAAAGTAGCTGAAAGGTAAATTTCATCACAGAAAGAAGTATGGTATTCAAGGTACATTTTGAACTTGGTCTTCTTTTAAAATTAAATTTTTTGAAGCTTAGAAAAATTGAAACAGGCACATTTTCTATCACAAGATGAAGTTGAACAGTTACTCAAACAAAACACAAAATGTGCATAACTTACTTCCATCTCCACCTGGCCTTCAACAATGATAAAAAGACAGAGGCCCCCTCCTAAGAGGGGCCACCCAGCACAGCATGACAACTACCCCAAGAGCAGAACCACTTGTAAGCTGCTTTTACAAGTTCTTTTCTTCACCAACTACAGGCTGCCATGCTGAGCCAAATTCCAGGCAGCATTCTCTCTTAGGATACATGATGCCATTTCAATTCGCATTTTAAAGCAAAAAAGTAAAAAATAAAAAAAGAGATCACACTGCAGTACCCAGCCACCTTTGCAAAGTCAAAACCCCCAGTTACAATCATCCTTAACGGTGACACTCAACACTTAAAGCTGAGAGCACCAACTCTAAAACCAACGATTAACCCAAGTAATAGCATCGAAATCTCGAGTCACCTCCAATACCACTATCATCACCCCCTTTCCTTCCTCCCCAGCCAGCAGCCACTGGCCACTTATCCACCACCCTCAACCCCATCAAAAGCACTTTATAGAAATGAACAACTCTGACAGAAAGACTGCCTTTTTAAAAAATACTCAAACAACCTAAGTCTGCACAGTAAGTGCATGTGAGACGTAAGCTCTCACTAACAAAGCTTGCTTTGCCACCTCTGAAACAATACCACAATAACAGCAAAAATAAATAAAAGAAAGGGGAAAAAGTTTCCTCAAGCCATTATGTCAGATGCAGTGAAAGGCTATATACACCAACTCATATCTTGGTTTTATGCTGGATCAACCAAGGAGAACCTCAAAACCTCCTGTGTGTGGTTGTGTGTGCTGAGGGTGGGAAAAAGAGGTAAGAGGAGGAAAGAAAGCAGTTAAATTTATAGAAACCAATGGCCAATCCCAGCACCAAATCAGATCTACCCAGGCAAAGATAGTTTCCTGTGACCCCTGGACCTTCTCCCTTCCAGCTCCTTCCAACCAACAAATACACAAACACACACACCCCAGGAGCCTCTTAGCAGGCAGAAAAATGTGCATTTGAAAATCAAGGCTGCCTGCAGGTGCCTAAGGAATAAAGAAAGAAGACACACAAACACACACAAAGCCAATCACTTGGGGAGGGGGACATACAAAAAGGTAAAGAGAGGGACAATTGGTGACAAGCCCTTCAGCAGCCAGCTAGGATTTTATCCCTGCCTCCTGCCAGCCCTCCCTGGTATACCTTCTCTGTCCTTCAACTAAATTGCTCATGTACACACACGTACACACACACACAACGCAAATGTGTGTGTGTGGATAATATTGTCATTAACCCTTTCTGCAATACAGTCCCATGCAAAATATAGAACGATATTCCATCCTTTCCTCTTCTCCACTCCTCCCTCCTTTCTCCCAACAAGGAGAAAACGCCCCCTTCCCCAGCTTCACCAAAAAAGGGGAGGGGGTGCAGAAAAGCCACAAAACCCTATCAGCCTCTGGTCCTCAGGACATCCAGAAAAGGCATATACTAGGCAGACTGACACAGACATACAGATACACACACACACACACACACATATGCATAGGAACATATGGCTCTGTAGAAAGCACACAGAGAACCGTCCACAGGCGCCCCGAACCCAAGCAAAGACTTCCACCAGCCAAGAAGCCATGATTGGGGAGGGAGAAGAGGAGGAAAGGAGTGGGGGCAGAACCATCCGTGGAGAAGGGGGGCGCATTGTTGTGATGTCCGAACCCCTTTCTTTCCACCCATCTGCTGTGGAGGAAGGTGGGGGTACAGGAAGGGGGCGCAGGGGAAAGGCGAGCTGGACAAGAACGAAACCAGTGGAAGACCAGACCAGGCATACTGCTTGGCGATTCCCTCCTTGCTGCCTGTCTGCCCCCCAGCTCCCCACACACACAACCCCACACCCAACAATAAGACCTCGGCCGAGACAGACAGCTTCGAGCGCGGCGAGGGAGGCAAGAAAACCGGGGTGCAGCCGAGTGGGGGGGTGTCATGCATAAAAGGAAACCATGGTGGGGAACGGGTAAGGGAGTCCCCCCCCCCCTTACCTCCAGCGCTTCAAAAGTAACAAAGCTGGTCATGGCAAATCCATCAATGATGTCCTCTTCGGCTGAGGTGGACTCTCGGCGCTTCCTCCGCGGGGGTCTGGGCCGGGACGGGGCGGAGGATGGGGGCTTTCCATTGTCTTCCTTGTCGGAGCCCGACGACGAAGCCAGCGAGGGAGCCCGGGTCCGGCCGGCTCCTCCACCACCCGCCGCACCGCTTCCTAACCCGGCCCGGGAGCGTCTCTCCCGGTCTCGCTGTGATCGCGACCTCCGCTTTTTCCGGAGTCCATGTCCCCGCGTCGGGCCATCCATGGTTCTTTTAACCGCGCCGAGGATCTTCCCCGTTCGCCTACCCGCGCGCCACAGGCTCGGGCCGCGGCCACACACACACACACACACACACACACACACACACACACAACACACACCCCAAGAAAAAGAAAAAAAAATGACACGGAACCCTCCCTCCTCCTGCACGGGCTTTCCCTCCAGCCGCGAGGAAGGGCGCGGGGGAGAAGGCGGCTGGGAGGAAAAAAAAAAAAAAAGAACCAGAAGAAGAACAAGAAGGGAGGGCAGGGGGGGAAAGAAAAAAAGGGGGAAGGGGCGGAGAGACGGGGAGGGAGGGACGGGGGAGCGAGAGGGCGAAGTGTGAGCTCCCCTCTGCACCGAGGGTCGGAGATGCCTGCGAACAGCGCCGAGCAAAGTAATGGCTGAACACACAGGTCTCCTTTACAGAGGAAAGGGGGAAAAAAATAACTCACCAAGCAGGCAATAAATCAGAATAGCGGAATGCTTTGATCAAGAGACTGGGGAAGCCCTCCCCGCGGCCATGCTCTCTCCCCACCACCGAAATCGTCTTGCTGCTCGCTTTCTCCAGAGACTCCCCAAAAATTTAAAAAAAAAAAAAAAAGAAAAGAAAAGAAAGAAAAAGAAAACCCTGAGGTCCGAAAAGGTCACGGTGAAGTGAGGGGTGGGTGGCAATGAACTTCACCCGCCCCCTCGTGCAGGAAACACCCCACACCTCCTCCTCTCTCACACACTCGCCTCGCAGAAAAACTCACTCCCGGGCTCCCAAATTTTTTTTAAAGAAATGTATGCAAGGGAAGCCAGGGCTGGGGAGCGAGCTGAGAGGGGCGAGACCCCCCAGAGAGGGGAGCATAACCGTGCAATCACGAGCGGAGACAGGGGTTGCGGAGGAGAGGAGGAGGACGCCGGAGCAGTTGTGGGATTTTTTTTTCCTTTTTTTTTTTCGGTGTTCGAGGGGGGGGAGGAGAAAAAGATGAAAGAAGAGAAGAATTGCAAAGCCTGGCGCGTGCCACCGACTACCCCCTCCTCACATACACATGCACGCACGCACACACACAAATCGTAGGTCCCTCCAAACCCCCCAGTTGCAGAGGTCACCCTTCCTCCCGAAACACTGGAAAGGAGGGGGGTGAGTCAGTCAACGCGGAAAGCAAAGAGCAGTCTCCAACCCGAGAGACACCGGTGTGGTGCCGCCGCCGCCTCTTCTTCGCGTCGCCCCGCCTGAGGAAGAAGCGCCGGGAGATGCCGCCCGCTCGCTCGCTCTCTCGCTCGCTAACGCTGCCACAGCGGCCGCCGCCGGAGCCCGGAGCCCGCGGGTGCACGGCGTGTCCCCGGGCGGCTGCAGCCAGAGCCCGGGCACGGCCTCATCCTCCGCCCGCCTCGCTCACACGGCGCCCGCTCCTCCCCCTCCGGCCGGCCCACCGCCGCCGCCCGCCTCGGCCCAGCCCCGCGCTCGCCCGCTCGCCGGCTCCCTCTCTCTCCCTCTCCCGCACGCGCGCTCTAGCGAGCGCTCTGGAAGCCCGCCCTCTTCGCGCCTCGCTCGGCGCGCGCTCCCGAGGACCGCCCCCGGGCTCGCCACGCGCCCCCGAGAGTCGCCCCCCACCCCGCACGCCTCGCCCGGCGCGCTCCCGAGGACCGCCCCTGCCCCCTCCGCGGGCTCCGGGGACTCTCTCACGCCTCGCCCCCCACCCCCGCCCCGAGGGCGCGCTCCCGAGGACCGCCCCTTCCACTCCTGCACCACTAGCTGCGCGCTCCCGAGACGTGCCCCTCCCCTCGCGCCTCACTCTTGTCTCCGATGCGCGTTCCCGCCCCCCTCCTCCCGCGCGCCTCGGGCCCGGCTCGGTCACGTGACCCGCCCCCTCCCCTAGTTGTAAGAGTGTGTGGAAAGCAAAAAGGCTGAGGGGCTGGCCACCGCTCCACGAGCCCAGGGCATGCGCGCTGGGGCGGCCGGGCCTGCGCACTTGGGGGCGGAAGGGGTCTCCAGAGGCTGTGGGGTCTGTGTGGAGGGCTAGGTCACGGGCCGGCGTGAAGTTGAAGCTGGAGGGCATGGAAGCTGCCGGGACGTCCCGCCAGACGCACGGAGGAGCCGCGCGCGCACGCGTGCCGGGGACCTTTCTCTGGACACTTGCTCCTGGAGTCTTATCTCCTCCACTCCTGAAGCTCTTGCTGCTTTAACTACTCTGAAGTACCTCTAGGTGTTTGGCCTGCGCGCACACGCGCCCTCAGAGTGCAAAAAGTGCGTGCAGCACCAGGAGGTGCAAAGCATGGACCAAAGAGGGTGCACCTTGGGGACGAAGGGTCTGGGTGCAAGAAGGGTGGCCTAGGGCTGCGTCCAGGCGCACCGAGACAGCCAACAGGCAGAAGTTGGAAACTTTCCTCCCCCTCCCCACCCCCCATCCCGCCTGCGTGGTAGAACACTGCATGCCCGAGTGCCCATGAACCCGGGTGACCCCCAGCCTGCACCCTTCGTCTCCTCGCAGGGGACCCTTTGAGGACGTGCTAGCCACTCTGGAGCAGCAAGGGACCGAGAACTTGAACCTGGAGAAAGGGACTGAGTAGCCCGGGGCCGCTCCAGCCTTTAGACTCCAAACCGCAGTCCTCTATGCTGCAGGCTTCGCTTACTGTTGAGCTGCGGGAAGGTGGAGCAGAGGTGGCCTCCCTGCGTTTGCCAGCGCAGTGTAACTGATGCTTATAAAAAGTTGTATTAAAGAGCTGACTACAGCCCAGAATCGATCAACCAAAGCGACCAGCCTCTCTGGATAAAATAGCTGTGCGTTTTTCAGGGCACTTGGAATTGATCTACACTCACCGACAGTCTTCTCTCGGCAACCTCTTAGTCGCTTCGCTTTCTGTCCGAGCACATAAACACCGTGGCACATCACCCCTCACCCCTAGCAGCCCACACTTGGCTTGAAGGAAAAGAAAACAAACTGACATTAATTGCTCACAATGAGCCAGACACCATGTTACAATGCTTTGTACTCGATTTCTACAAGTTCAGAATCCCAGTCTGCACATAACAGAACAGGAAGGTCAAAGCCCTTGGAAGCGAAGAACTACCTTTTCTCAAACGGATGAACAGATGGATGAATTTCTTCCTCCTCCTATTCTTTTCTTCTTCTCCTTTCTCCTTTTCTTCTTCTTGATCTTCTTCCTCCTCCTTCTCCTCCTCCTCTTCTTCCTTCTTCTTCTTCCTCCTCCTCTTTCTTCTCCTCTTCTTCTTGGATTAGGAAATCACAGCTGTAGGTTCAGGGAATACCGTGGCACCCCAGGGAAGTGCTTGAATTTTATTTTCTGCCAAGCGGGTTTCTTTGTCTTAACACTTCCAGATTTAGCCGTTGGTTTCTCATTACTTTATTTTTAAGTCACACTCAGCTTTGCTGTTTCACGAATCCAGGCCTATGAGCGGTAGATACAGATACTGGGAGATAAGACGACAGAAAGGGAAGTGGAGTGTGAATAAGACAGGCTTTATGTCTGTCCAGCGGAACAAACCATTTAACCTTAGGCAAGACTTTCAAATGACTAATTTTCTCAGCTTGTAAATCAAAGAAGTTCAATTAAATGTTCAAAAAGTTTCCTTGCAAGTCTCCCAAGGCCTTCTAAAAAAAAAAAAAAAAAAAAAAGCATCTTTTTTATTTAAAAAACAGATCCTGTGCTTTTTTTTTTCTTTTTCTTAAGAATAGTGATGTGTGATATCTGAAATAATTAGGAACAGATTACCACCTTCCAAAACTAGTTACCCATGCTGACTGTGGCTGCCCCCAGCAGTCACTTAAATTCAGACTTCCATACTTCCAGAATGCTGTTCCCTGCAGCAGCTATCTGTTATGCACGCTGAGGATACCAAGCAAATTCCTCAAAATAGAGGTAAATTCCTTGGACTTGGACTCATTTTCAGGGTTCGTTTTTTAGGGTGTTTTAATTTTCTTTTTGTTGCTGTGATTAAAAAATTAAAAAAAAAAAAAAAAACCTCTAGATGAAAACAACTTGAGGAGCAAAGGGTTTATTTGGCTTGCACTCCCAGGTCATACTCTAGCACTGAGGGAAGTCAGGAACCTGGCACAGCGTGGAGGCATGCTGCTCACCGGCTCAATCTCAGGCACACTCTCCTTCTTCTAGCTTTGTTACAAAACCCAGGTTGATGGGCCCAGGATGGCACCACCCACAGAGGGCTGGCCCTCCCACATCAATCAACTAGCCAATTCCCCACAGACTTGGCAAGACACCAATCTGATCTGGGCAATCCCCAAACTAAGGCTCCCCTCAGATGACTCTGGACTGTGTCAAGTTGACAGCTGAAGCTGAGTAGGACAGATGTGAAAGTCGTCTTCCATACTGACAAGATTCTAGGAAAATCAGGGACTAACATTGCAAATAGAGTCACTTTTCACAAACTTTGGAGACTGGGTTGAGAAAAGTGTGAAATTGTCAAATATAATAAAAGGCATTATATTAGTGACTTTTCAGAGTAGCCCTTGGCAGTTATGTCTTTAAAGAGTAATGTCTAGTTGGGGGGAAAGTGGATCGTAATATACTGTATCCATGAACTTTGCCTCTGGCAAGAGTAATTTGCAAACGAATTTCAGGATAATGTTTAAATGATTTTTTTTTTTTTTAAGGTATAAGTGTAGTGCTCACTAGAATTGGTAATAGCTTTTGGGGGTCAGAATTTCATCATATTCTTCCATCAGAGAATTAAAGTTATTTATGGGTTATATTGCTCTTATTTGCCTCTAAATCTCCATCTCATCTGTTTTGATCACTAATGAATGATTAATAATACTGCATAATAAGCTAAGCAATTACTGTGCGTGGCACTGTTCCAAGGGTATTAAAACAATATCTCAATTAATTCTCATAAATTTTATTTTTGTGTATGAGTTTATGTATGAGAATATGGGGGAGGGAGCCGGGGGAAGGGCGCACACGTGTGAAAGCAAGTGTGCATTTGCCAGCGTGCATGGAGAGATCAGAAGAGAATGTTAATGTCCTGCCTGGCACTT